GTCACCTCCTGCTAGGTCAGGGTTCCCTGCAGTCTGTATTACTGGATTTCAATGTTAGACCTGTGGTCAAACCAGCCGATCCCTCCTCGGACAGGCTCAGTGTTTACCTAAACTTGATATGATGCTTAAGAAAAATAAGAAACTTATTTCTGAAATTCGAATGGCTGCGTTTTCTCGGAAAATCAAAATATTCAGCAGTGCAAACCCCCATGGTGGACACACAAAGACTACTGTTCTCAGACTCGACCTATGGGTGCCTGTATTCTTGTGTAAGTGTCTTCCTTCATAGACTTAGTCATTTAAAACATCCTACAGAGAAGGGTTTCAAAGGTTTGACTAGACTGCTAAAGATATCCACAGTCCTTCCTCATTAAGAATGCTTTGTCTTATTTCTCGTATCCTTCATGGTTGACATTTGTGGTGGTTTGAAAGAAAATGACCCCACAAAGGGAGTGCCACGACTAGGAGGTGTGACCTTGTCAGAGGAAGTGTGTCACTGTGGGGGCGGGCTTTGAGGTCTCTTGCACAGTTTTCCCTCAGTGTGATTGCCATTCAGCTACCAGTCGCATCTACATGCACACCACCATGCTCTTCCTCATACTAATAATGGACTGAACCACCTCAATTAAAGATTTTCTTTATAGCAGTTGTAATGGCCAAGGTGCCTCTTCACAGCACTAAAAACTCAAACTAAGGCAACATTTTTAACTTTTTTTTTCCTCATGTAGCCCAGACTGTCCTTCAACGTGTTGTGTAACTGAGACTAGCTTTGAACTTCTGAATTTCCTGCCTCCACTTTCAGAATGCAGGAATTACAGGCACATGCCACCCTGCCAGCTATGTTTTAGTTTTTTGAAGCTATATGCATATGCTCCCATTTTCTTCTCCTGACTTTCCCAAAATTAAGAACCATTTTCCTGCCGGACAGTGGTGATGCAGCACTTGGGAGGCAGAGGCAGGCAGCTCTCTGTGTGTTAGAGGCCAGCCTGGTCTACAGAGTGAGTTCAGGGACATCCGGGGGTGGGGGTGGGGGGTAGGGGGTGGGGTGGGGGGATGGGAGGGGGGGGGGGGGGTACAGAGAAACCCTGCATCAAAGACAAATAAGCAAACAGAGAACCATTTTCCCTATAATCACATTATCTCTCAAAAATGAGTAAAAGATGAACAGGCTAATAACTTAGCCATGAAGTTTTCCTCTACTTAGGTTCAGGGCCCCAGACTCAACACAGCTTGCCTAGGAAAACCTATGTGGAAAAGGAAAAACCAAAGCCGAAAAGCGCTGGCGTCCTCCAAAGGCTAATACACTTACCCACATCATATCTCTGTTCCCTGGCCCCCAAGGCGCTGTGTCCACCTTACTGCCCATGGCCCGTGCTCAAGTGGTTGCCTACCGTAGCTATTCCTGGGCCTGTGTGTGAGTGTCTGCACCTGGAACCTGCTGTCCCGGCTTCAATAGACGTCTCCAGCTAGCCAAAGCCATTTGCCCTCAGAGAGAGAGCAGAGGTAACAGGCACTAGACTCTCCAGAGTCTTTCGAGACTCTTGGCTCTTAAACTATCCCGAGGAAGCCAGGCTTGGTAGTGCACTTTTAATCCCTGCACTCGGGAGGGAAATGCAGGCAGACCTCTGTGAGGTCAAGGCCAGTCTGGTCTCTACAGAGGGAGTCCCAAGCCAGATAAGAGCGACTTAGTGAGAGTTGTCTGAAGAATCCATCCCGAGGAACCAGGGGAACATCCGTATCTCTCCTTCTGATCCTCCGCTTCAGCAAGGAAGCCAGGGTGCAGGCGACATGCTGCTGGCCAGGCTGTAAACCCAAGGGCACACGACAGAGTTGGTCTTGACAGTGCCCCACCCGTGCAGCGCGCGGTACTCCTGGCATAATAACCCTCCCCTTCGGGCCCGCCAAGAGGTCCTCGCAGCAGCCCTTCTGAGAAAGGAGCAAGGATGACCACGACTCCACAAAGGAAGCAGATGGAGACCTGAGGAGAGCTCACCCAGACGCTCGCAATTCCCTCGCTCTCCAGCAGAGGGGAATTCTGGGACTTCTCCAGCAAGTACTTAACAAATCTGAGCTACCAAGTGTTGGTGAATGCATCAGTGTTTTAATAGAGTAAGCCCAGGCCTCTGGCACTAAGTACCATTTCTAATCAACAGTCTCCCCAGCCTTCATTTTAATAGGAGGGAGCACGTCCATGCATGCACTTGGATATTATAAGGAAGCTAGAGGTTTTGTGGCAGCATATGCTTTATTTTAAGTCATTTTAAAAAAATGATAATGCTGAAAATACAACTTCTTTCTTTTGGTACCTAGTTCTATGAATTTTAACACATGTATGATTTGTATAATCGCCTTTAGAGATCGGATCCGGCAGGCCAAAAGCTCCTTCGTGCCCTTTGAAATGGTCTCAGAAATAATTAGAGTGGTGTACACATAAATTGAAAGCCAAGGGAATATTTACAAAATGAATTATGCATTTTATTCCCAGGGCACTTGGCTGGAATTTCTCTGTGCGTGTTGCAGGATTGCTCCGTTCCACTTTGGAGGACAAAAATTGTCACGAAGCAGCCCTGCCCTTCAAGTTCAGCCCCACACACTGTGCGTTAAACGACAGGCTAATCTTGCTGGGCTTATTTTTACTTATTTAAAACATGCACATTTGATTCAAATGTTTTCGGAGTGTGTAAGTTTAGGAAGAAGAAACAGAGAAAGGCAGACAGCGACTTGTTTGGGCTTCGTTGAGAGCTGTCCAGGAACTGGGCAGAATCAGAGAACTGCAGGCCTTGGATAAAATTTGGTGAGAAATGAAAAGCACCTCTTGATTAGTTTCTTCTTATGTGCATTTAGTTCTCCGTCTATGGGAATGGCTCATCCCACAGGCCTAGGTCTGCTTGCACAGTCCTGTGGATGGATATACGAAGGGGGCTATGTTCTCTGTGCAGGCGATGACATTCACCTTCAAGTCCTTGTTCTGGTCTACGTGTGCTTACCTGAAGTTAGATTTGGTTACTTCTTGATACAGAAATTGTCTCCTTACAGGGGACCGTCCAATGCAGAGCCTTCTCTGTCCCCGCTTCCACCAAGGAGAGATGTACGTATCAGGAAGGCTTAGGTATGGTCCACAGAGGTGAATTTAATAGCTTAAATATGTCTTGCTATTATTCACAAGGTAGTTCTGAGTCACCTTTGCCATAAAAATGGAGTATATTTTTACAGTAAAGTTAGGGCACACTCCATAAAAGTTTTATGACTCATTTGTCAGGGAAGAGCCATCTCTTTCAAGATGAAGAAGTAAGTTCTGGTTATTTAGCAGGAGAGGCAGAAATCCCTGTATCGACTGATGTTGTGTTCCATATTTCATTACTGCCTTTATTTTTTTAATACCGAGAGAATAAAGTTTATTTAAAATGTCACACTTTGAAAGTCGCCCATTACCTACAGAGAGCGTTCCAAGAGCCCAGCCATCACTTTTGTTTATTGCTGGAGATTCGCTATAGATGCTCTGTCACACAATCCTAACTCGTTAACATATTGGAAAGTATAAGAGACAGCCACTCACTGAGCGGTTCCAGAGTCTGGCCATTCGCTCCTCCTGGGCTCTTCTCTGTGGGCAGATGGAACCACTAGAGAAGTGGGCCATCTCGGTTTAATTAGTAGGAACCCCCCACGGCCCGAAGGAATTCTGAGTTCAGTGCAAACAAGAAGAGGGGAGAAGCAGCCTAACCAAGACTTAGGCCCCAACATTTGCTTTTGGTTCTCGGGCTTTTAAAACAAAATGGCAGAAGCACACCAACTACTGAAAGTTTGCAGGCATGCTCTTGCCAATGTGAATCACCAGTAGACCTTTGCACACCATGAAATAGTTAAAAGACAATTTAATCCCTGAAGAATATCCTATAAAAGCTATCGATGCTATTGGAGGGCTGAAAGACTGGCTAAAAAATGATTGTTCTCAATTGAAATCAAGAAAAACAAGAATTTGTTGTTTTTAATTTTAAAAAACCCACAAGGCTGGGTGGTAGTGGTGCATGCCTTCAATCCCAGCACTGGTAGGCAGAGGCAGGCGGATCTCTGTGAGTTCGAGGCCAGCCTGGTCTACAAAGTGAGTTCTAGCACAGCCAGAGCTAAACAGTGAAGCCCTGTCCTGAAACAAACAAACAAAAAGCCCACACAAGTGTTAGTGAAGATGTGAGAAAAAACTAGAATCCTTGCACACTGACAGTAGGATAGTAAAATGGTCAAACTACTACAGGCAGTGGGTAGTCAGACCTCAGAGTATAGGAAAGAGATTTGCCACAGGATCCAGAGATGACAGAAAGTAACCTCTCCCTTGTACATAGCAAGGCTGGTCACTGGAGAAAAGAAATGAGAGTAACATAATCCATTAATGAATGAATAGCCGCAAGGTGATGTGTGTGTATGTGTGTGTGTGTGTGTGTGTATAGTGTGTGTTTGTATGTGCATATGTGTATGTATGTATTGTATGTGTGCATATATGTGTATATGTGTGTACGTATGTATATATTTGTGTGTGTATGTGTCTATATGTGTGTATATATGGTGTGTGTGGATAGTATTCAGTCTTGAAAAAGGAGCAAATCCCATACTGAAGCATGAGTCTTGAAGATATTATGCTACATGAAATAAGCCCACCATGAAAAGATAAATGTATGATTAGTTAGATACATAAATACCTAACGGGTTAAATTCTTAGAAATGCAAAGTAGAATGAGTTCTGCCAAGAGTCAGGGCTGCTGGGGAGGGGCTAATGGAGAATTGGTTAATAGGTATAGAATTGTAGTTTCAAAAAATAGAAATACTATAGAGAACTTCAACAGCAACATGACTACACTTAACAAAAGTCCCCTTTAGTATGGTTGCTTAGGTTTCGATTGCTGAGAAGAGACATCGTGACCATGGCAACTTTAATAAAGGAAAACATTTAACTGAGGTGGCAGCTCACAGTTCAGATGTTCAGTCCTTTATCATCATGGCAGGGAGCATGGTGGCATGCAGGTAGACGTGATTCTGGCTACATCTTGATCAGAAGGCAATGGGAAATGTACTGAGGCACTGGGCACGGGTTGGGCATATATGAGACCTCAAAGCCCACCCCCACAGTGACACACTTCCTCCAACAAGGCCACACCCACTCCAACAAAAGAGGTATAACAAAGTGCCTCCTGGTAGTGCCACTCCCTATGAGCTTGTGGGGGTCAACATTCAAACTACCATGGATGGGAAATTTTTTTTTTTAGATTTTTAAAAAAGTGTATGAGTGCTTTGACTGTATGGATATATGTGTATCATGCACGTCCTATGTTCTTAGTGGTCAGAAGATGGTGGAGAGTCCCCTGGGACTATTTTTGGATAGCTGGGAACCACCTGCCACAAAATACGGCATCTGTATTTTGATGTTCCTCAGCCGGGCAGGCCTCAAACATCAGGGACCCAGGAAAAAGCTTGACTACACGTCACACATCATATGCCAATCTATGTAAAGATCATAATATTCCCCAAAACAGGGGTAACCCTGTGTCCATGTGGGCACTGAGAACAGAACCCAGGCCCTCTGCAAGAGCAGCAAATGTTCTCAACTGCTGAGACGTCTCTACAGCCCCAAGATGGCAAAATTTATATTGTGTTTTCTTTAATCAAGTTTTTAAAAGTTTTCAATGACTATAATGAAAATTGATTAAGCCACGCTCAGAAGATTCCTAAAGGGTATGAATGCAGGTCGTTTTTCTTATTGACAGTGTTGTTGGGTCATGTTCTCTAGCCCCACAAGTCAACAGGGTTGAGTGTTCAAGACAAGGCATTACCAAGGAACCCAAGAATTCCTTTGGAATGTAAACATCATGTCTAAAAGTAATTGATGACCAAAGGATCAGCAGAGCCAGTTCTTCCTAAATAATAATAATAATAATAATAATGGGTTGGATGTGTGGGGCTGGAGTGTGGTGTGGCAGCAGTTGGTGAGATCTTCATGTGTGGGGAGAGCTGGTCTGGGTTTGCAAGATGGAGAACTCTGGCATTACTCCATGGCAAATTAGCGAAGATTCATGTCTTCTGTCTCATTTCCTGGTTTTGTGTTGCGCAGCAATAATTTGCTCACCATCGTCGTGATGAGACGTAACTGTGGAGCGAAAAGGAACATTATTATCAAAAACACATCTCTCGACTGCCGCGGAAAGGTTTGGATTTAACTGCAGTTTCTAATAAGCAAGGGAGCTGTTGGGAGAGTGTTAGGGAATCTGTGGCTTGAGTTTGAATTCCAGCAAAGCCCTAACAAATGTACCGCCTTCCAGGCTGCTCCCTCCTCCCTCAGCAAGGCCCCTTCTGCAGACTCAGGACTTAGGTGACTCTGTGGGGCAGTGGTAGATGCCACTGCAGTCGGGAAGTTGCCATGGCCTCTTGACAGGCTCCCCTGCTTAACTTCCCCAATGGATTCTGCCAGGCCTACCTTGACTTGCTCTAGTCCAGCTCTCGAATGGAAGCTGCGAGTCTTCGGAGAGCACTTGCCAGTCTGGAACCGGGCCTTGGAGCCTCAGCATGGGCCTGCGAGGCAGATGTGTGGTAAATACCACTGTTCCCCCAGCCAAGCGAGCGCGCCGCACATTTTCCAGTGGAAATGCCATGCTGGAGACAGAACATGACTTAGCAGCGGGTGGGCAACTCATTCCTAAGAGCTCAGTTCCTCACAGTGAGGGACCTGGTGGAAACCGCGCTGCCCCTGTGGGAGGAAGCGGCTTCCCGGTAGCTGCAGGGAGAAGACAGTCGGGGAGGCGAAGGCAGTCTCTTGGGAAGCCACTGTTTGTGATCCTCACAGTGTAAACAGCAGAAAACAAAACTCCCGGGTCCGTGTGCACAGACATGCTGTATACGTATTTCTCATCTGCATGGGCTAGCTCGCTCATATTTCAGGCTTCCCTCCATGCTTAAAGGTGGCCTTATCTGAATATGTAATGATACCAAGACTTCTCCCTCTCAGGGAAACCAAGTAATGTTTGTCAAGTAGTGTCTTTCACCCTCGGGAGTCTCTATCTCTTTCTAGTGGGCTGTGCAAATGACACAATCTGGGGGTGTGTTTTTTCCAAAGTGTGTGTGTGTGTGAGAGAGAGAGAGAGACAGAGAGAGAGACAGAGAGACACAGAGAGAGACAGAGAGACAGAGACAGAGAGACAGAGAGAAACAGAGAGAGAGAGACACCCAACGATTTGCCCTCTTCTTGCCTCACAGTTCCCTTTCAGCCTGGCCTGACCCTGTTCACACCTGCCACAAAATACGGCATCTGTATTTTGATGTTCCTCAGCCGGGCAGGCCTCAAACATCAGGGACCTAGGAGAAAGCTTGACTTCACGTCACACATCATATGCCAATCTATGTAAAGATCATAATATTCCCCAAAACAGGGGTAACCCTGTGTCCATGTCAGATTCCTGAGCCAAGGTTTTTGCAGAAGAATTTATTAAAATCATGTTGGCATGGCTGTGGTTTGGTATGTGCTTTAAGAGAGTCTTCATTTCTAGCTATCGTGGCTTAAATGAGAAATGCCTACTATGGGCTCTATCGAGATACTGAACACTTGATCCCCAGTTGGTGGAGCTGTTCGGGTTATGAAACTTTAGGACAGGAGTCTTGCTAGAAGTAGCACGTCCCTGGGGGCAGGCTTTGAGAATTTATTGCTTTACCCTACTCCCAAGCTCACCCCTCCATGGCCTTTCGTGGAAGGTTGGGAGCCTCTTCTTCAATCCTGCGTGATTCTGTTCAGCCTACGGGAAAAATTAATAGGGAGAGTCCAGTTTGTGCCTCTAACCGTGAAAGTGCAGCAAATGAAATACGGGAAATGGCGAACAACCACAAGATGGCGCTGTGACGCAGGAGACGTCCAAGTTCATGTGGGCTTGGAGAAGATGCTGTGTTCCAACATCCAGGGCAGAAACTGACATCTCCCTCGAAGATAAAGAAAATATTTTAGGAATATGTATGCTCCAAACTTTTCGTAAAGTCAAAGTGGTGTTCATAACAGATTCCAAAATTACTCTTTAACAATCTAGCAATTCCCTTCTGGGAAAATAATACAAAACTATGACATGAGAAATGTCCCTCTTCAGAGACTCTGCCCACACTGAAGTGTCTTCCCTGTCTTTTACTTTAGCTTTAAAATGTTCACTCTTCCATATTTTCGGTGAAATGCCATGATATAAAAGAGAAGTGCTTTTATTATTTACTTACAGACTTACAGTCCTCAGTGTTCCATTTCAAAAACAAATGAATGGCATTTGGTATTTTCCATCAGAGCGCCTTTGTTGTCTGGTGACTTCGCTCTCCCTCTCCCTCCAACCGCCCGGTTGGACCCCTGGGGTCATAGCTGGAAGATCCTGGCAATGCATGACTAATAGATAACCTGAGGGGGTCGAACTCTTAGGAAATCCAGACAGGTAACTGGAAGATGAGTCTTTATCTTCCCCGAGACCAAGAGTAGGCTAGGGTCAGGTGACCAGGGTTCCCGTGAGAGGCGCTGAGCGCCAACCTCCTGGGGATGCACGGAGCAGTCCGTCTGCTCCTTCCTGCACAGTATGCCGCCTGCGCGTCACTAGCTCAAAGCCTAGAGCCTCCTGTTGAGAAATGGGAACCTAAAAATAGACCTGCAAGGAGTTACAGTACCGTGCCCTTGGCTTGGAAATCAGCCCGGCACTGTGACAAGAAAGACCTTTCCTGTGAAGACTGTGTTCATAGAAGCCATATTTCATCTTTATACTGACTCCAAGGAAAAGCGTGCTCAGAAACTGTGCCTCTTGGCCGTCCTTCAGCTGTTTGGCTCTGGTCGTTCTGGACCTTAGACATCTGTGTTAAGTCTCTTCCTGAAATCCCTCGAACAAAATGTTAAAGGTTAAAGATTAGATTAATAGCAACATTTAAGCAACTCTGCTATTATAGCGTGCATCAGATGTTTGGTGATGTTTGGTAAGAATTCAAGGACAAGGTAGGAAAATGCTGCATTCAGTATTTTCTACAATAAATGATGACATTTCTAAGGCAATCTGCGCCAGAGGGCCAACTGGATGGAGATATAATATAATTTTTAGCAATTAAATCCAAATTTAGTTGTCCATAATTTTATGACTATATTACTTACAGTATTTAGTGTTTGTAATAGCAAAGAATGTCAGAGGAATTTCATTTTGTACATATTGCAAGGCTGAATGTTATACCATAAAAAGCTACTTTAAAGGCATTATAAAGGTGGGTAACTTTTTCAGAACAGCTGCCTTCAATTAAATAACAAATACTTTTCCAAGACTCTTTCAAGTTTGGTGTTCCTTCGGAAGGCTGCAACGTCTGGAAAAGCAGACGTCATTAGGAAGCACAGAGTCCCGGAAAGGTCGCTGGAAATGGTATTTAATACCTGCGAAGAGAGGAACAATCATTGGTTTAAACTCTCACCATAAATATCACAAATAACACTGATTATAGGTCTCATTCAAACAAGAAATAATGAGCATGGAATGAAGGGAGAATAATGATCCAAATTGTTTTTAATCTCGCAGAGTTGTGCCTATTGATTGGCCTGGAAGTAACAGCGCTAATCATAGGTAAGAAATTCAAAGGCTTCACAAAGTCATTAGCCCTGAGAGTTCAGGATACCCATTGCTTTATACTTGTACTGTATTTGATTGAGGAAAACCTTTGAACAACCGTGTATTTAAGATAAATTCCAGGGTTGACCCAAGTCAAATGAGATTCCCTCTCAACTCTTCTTGGCAACTCATAAAAAGCCATTTAGGTACTCCTTCTAATGCAGCGAATGTGCTCTGAACACTTACTGTATGCCTGGCACACAAGAGAAACAAACAGAGCTCAGCCTTCTCAGAGGTCATTGTTGACTTCACATTGGCTCTTTTCTAATAAGCTCAAAAGCAATGACTTTTGCAAAATGGTAAATTTACACTTTGGACTGACTTTTCCAGAACGTTCTGGCCAAGTTTCAAGAGCAAAGTCGTAAGTAAGAAATACATTAAAAGCACACAAAGTCACTTGAGAAGCCACGCGGAAAACTTTGGACAGGTTCTGAAGGGAAAGTATTTTCACTTTTCATTAACTTCTGTTGAGACCCACGTAGAGCTTGCGTGCTTTTCAACTCATTTTGAGGCTGCGAGTATATTCTGAGCAGCTGATCACTCCTCTTTTAGCTCCGACAACCACACATAGACATCTTACTGATGAAAATAAGAGAATGGAAAACTCACACTCTCATCAACGTGTTGGCCAAGAAGTGAATCTGGGCTATAGCTTGCCAGAAGGGGGCAGCAGAGAGCGCTTGCCACGGCAGCTCAGGACCTCAAGACCAGGTGGTTGCCAGGAAACCTCCAGGGCACCTGAGAACTGAGGACGCTCCATCTGTCTAGGGAGAGTTTGCTGAATGGAACGGCTGGCAGTAGGAAACGCAAGCCAGAAGAAACAAGCAGAGGAGACAAGAAAAATGAACACATTGAGGAACGAAGTCACCAACCCGCGACTGTAAATGGGTCACCTCAAAGAAAGGACGTAATTGCTCACACTTTGTGCTTGTCGAGTGTAAAGCGAATATAGCGATGTTAGCGCCTCCAGACTCATCCTCACGAGGCTGTGACGTGGCGCGTGGAAAGTGCTCAGTGCATGGCTCATCCGTTCAGAGAAAGGATGGGACAAACACAGCTGTTGTTGCTTTCTGCTGCAGAGGGGCTGAGGGCTAGCCTCAGAGAGGAAAGCACACAAGAACCCATGACGGTCAGACACACACACACACACACACACACACACCCGTAGTGGAGATGGAGACAGCAGAAGAGAGGGCACTGTGCTGGGGAGCAATCTGATGGCCCTCAGCAGCTCAGATCTGGCTCCCAGGAATATCCATCTACCATCCTCTATCTAAAAGATAAGCTGCCACGAATCCCATCGTTCAGGTGAAAGCAACTCTTGCGTTCTTTCAAAATAAGAGCCAGTTGTCTGACCGACCTGGTTTCAGAGCTAGAGTGGTAAGTCTGAAGGAGGGCCTCCTCAGCTGCAGGATACGGAGCTCCCTCAAGGCTGTTAGCATTTTGTTAGCCAAACTCACCAGTTCTTAAGAAATTTTTGTTGTGGTGGGTTTTGTTCATTTGTGTTTGCCTGTTTGGTTGGTTGGGTTTTTTGTTTGCCTGTTTGCTTTGTACCCTTCAGTTTGAAAAATGTTTTGGAGGAGTAAATATCTCCTGTTCTTGGAGAAGGTGGTAATGTTCCCATGGGTCTAAATACAGTGCAGTTCCCACCTTGGGAGACAGTTGCACGCGCCATACAGACTTGGTCCTGATACCCACTCCGTACAGAGAAGCCTGAGAAACCGTCTTAAAATCTCAGCTAAGCCTGTTGGTTTCCCTGTCTGCAACCTTTCAGAGTCCTCTGGATAAAGACTGAAGTGGAAATATTAGCCAGGCATGGTGCCTCATAACTATAATCCAGGCCTCTGGGAGGCTGAGGCAGGAAGATGGACAGCCTGGTCTACATAGTAGGATATTTTCTCAAAGTATAGAGTTGGCAGGTAAAAGTGCTTGCTGCCAAGCATGAGGGCTTGGGTTGGCTCTCTGGAGCCACATGATGGGAGGAGAGAAGCAATTCTCCACATATACCATGGTGCCCCTCTCAGCTCCAGTTAATAAATAAATGTAATAAAAAGTCTTACTGAAATATTCAACAACCTACACAGCCAAGTCTGTACTTAGTGGGCCGGGGAGAACTCAGCGAGAGCCTGGCTCCTGGAAAAAAATCTATCCAGAAAATCCAATGTGAGGACTGAGTGCCCATGCAAATCATAAGCTTCTCTGTAGAAGAAAAACAACGACGCCGTAAGTCAGGCATAGGATACACACCTCTAACCCCATCCCTCAGGGTGCTGAGGCTGGAGGACCACAAGTTAGAGGCTAGTCTGGGCCGTAAAGCAAGATACTAGAAACAGGGAGAAGAGAGAAAGCAAACAGCTAATGAGAGAACGGGACAGGCTTGGAGGCGGGGTCATTCTGAAGAAATCTGGTAGAAGAGTGGACTTCCGGCTCCTACAGGTAAGACGACAGAAGGAGGGCATGCAACCGGGGTGTTGGAGCCCGGTGATAAAGGATCAGAACGCACCGGTGGCATTGCCAACCTCGCAAATGTAGCCACTTCAGGATAAACCAAAGCCACCCCACGTAGTCTACATTTAAAATTGATAAGAACTGAGAATTACGTAAGCCACTGTGGCTTCTCTTTCTCAAGCACCTGCTCTGGGCTCGCTTTCCGCTGGCCGTCTTACAGGCTTCCTTACCATCACCTTATAATTAGGCTGATAATTAGCATCTCCAGTTTTGATGTCTGAAAACCACGGCTCAAAGAGTTACTGAGAATCAAATGGCTAATAAGGGCATCAGCTGAAAGAGCCAAAAACATCAAACATTTCTGTTCTTTGTATAGAAAGGGGATAGATACGGCCCGGCCCATGGTTGATCATCAGGTCAGGCAGCGCAGAAAGCAAGACCTTTGTTTATTGTCTGTCCTACCCCGTGGAGAGGACAGGGACAAGTAGGGGCTGTTTTGTTCACGACCAACTCAGCAGCATATCAAGCAGTGTATGGCCATGGCAGACTTTAGGCAGGGATTTTTTTTATTATTATTTTTATGTAAATGGGGGAAATAAAGGTTGGCCGGTGTTTTATTACTCAGTATTTTGATTCAGAGAGTATCAAAGTTGGAAGGATCAGCGCGGATACCCGTATGTACATAGATTTGGTGTTGGATGGATTTTTTTTTCTTATTCCATCCACTTCCAAGAGCTGCTTCTAAATTACAACGATGCCTTATTCAACCAGAGGTTTCCATTAGCAACAAGAATTAATTAAATTATGAGTCATCAGCAGATGACACTAAAGCAGATTATCCCCCTACGATTCTTCTTTTTTTCTAATTATAAAAGTGATATAGTAAAAGACACGCACTAGATTTATTAATTTTAAAAAGCAAAGCGCACACTGTTGTGAAAAGACTTGTTTCTGGCGGAAACAACAGGATGCAGGCGAGAACTTGGTACGTTTTCTCCCAAAGGATAGCAACGCTGTGCAGAGTTTATGTGTACCTGATACCTGCCGTGTGTATTGTCTCGGATAATTATTTTAACAATACCATATGGTTATATTATACCCTCAATTAAATAGTATTATTTCTCCCATATTCCCATATTCTTTCTGGAGACAATCTGGAACTTAGGGAAATGTTACAGCATGCAAATGTGCACACACACCCACACACACGTGTGTGTATGGTCTACATTTACTTCTGTATCTGCTTATGTTGAGAGCCTTGAGTTGTACCAATACCTACAAGGCCATGCCTATACCGCTGAGTTTCAGCTGTCTCTTTTTATACGGGCAATTTCCTCACCACTTCCTGGCTCCAACCAGCTGTCAGTATTTTTGCTTATGGGATTGGCTGTTTTAGTAACAAATGTCCAGTTGCCTCCACAGTCCCTTTTCCAGTAGGGATGTCTTTTCTCCTTCCTCTAGTCCCATCAGTTACTTCTGTCTTCCTGCCAAACTCTGATACCCGATGCCAGGACAAAGCCCCTCCTGCCATTGCACCAAGACTTCCCTTTACCCCTTGGAACGAGACCCTCCACCAACACATACCAACACTTTCACGGGACCACTCCTGCCATTCAGTAACGGTCACCGGAAGCAGTTCCTAGCTGGACCTGGTGGCACAGGCATGTGACTCCAGCTAAGTTCAATGTCCACCTGGGCTAGAGACTGGTTTCGAATCCACCTCGAGTATATCTCAAAACTAAAAGTCAAAAGAACACTAGGGTGTCACTGAGTGGGAGGGTGCCCTAAGTTGAATGCAGCGCAGAAATCGAGGAAGGAAGAGGATGCAGGGTTTAAACCCACATCAAGGTCGGCAGGGTAGCACTTTTGGATCACCATGAAAAGGACCAGCCAGTTAGATCAAAGGCACTGATAACCTTGGAGTCTATCATTTGCCTGAGAAGGAAGAATAAAAGATGAAAGAAAGAAAAAAAAAATGGAGCGGGCTGTTTGTTCAGTGGGGGTGAGGGTGAGGGGGTGGCAGGGAGATGTGGGGGCGACAAACTTGAACCTGAGGACTTGAGTTCTATCCCCACGACTCACATTTGCTGGAGAGAATCAGCTCCTGAAAGTTGTCTTCTGACCTCCCCCCCACACACACACACGAATAAATAAGTAAATGAAAATTTTGTAACAAAAAAGAGATGGCACAGGGAGCAAGCTGTTTGTGAACTGTACCCCAAGCAACAAAGTCACCACGGATGTCGCAACAGCACTGCCGGCTAATAACCGGCTGCCCCGGAATTGTCGAGAAGTGCAAATAGCTCAGCGTTCAAATGCTTCTATTTTTTCCAGCGTCTCAAAGCAGCAGGGCAGAGAGCTGCTCTCCAAAGACAAAAGCATTGGAGAGACACAAACACTGCAGCCCAGGCTGGGGGACGCGGCTCACACTTGAGCCGTGATTTTCCGTTTGCGCTGTCAGCGAAGAGATCCAAAATGCTCCAACATCGGCGCCCATTCCTCACGGTGCCTGTGCGACATCCCACACCAGGCTCAGGCTCAGCCAAACTCAAGCTCTTCCTTTTCCTCATTTACCTTGGCTACCTGCTTCCAGAAGAAAACAAAAGGCGGATTTAGAAAGAACAGACACCTGTTTTCCTCCAGTCCTGTTGCTAATCAGCGGCTTGGCCCGAGTTCATTCACCTTGCCAAAGGCGGACCAAGGCCTCGCACTCTCTCTCCCCTGGAAGGCTTGCCTAAGGCTCTCAAGTTCAAAGTTTATCATGCTCCCATTACACTCCATTTTCTAATTACCTCACTCTTCCTTTGTCCTTACCTTTTATAGGTCTAATTGTCCTTAATCCAGCAGTTCTCAACCTGTAGGTTAATACCCCTTTGGGGGGTGGGGTGGGGTTGAATGACCTTTTCACAGGGGTCACAAATCAGATCCTGCATATCTGATGTTTGCAACACAGTTCATAACAGAAGCAAAATTGCAGTTATGAAGTAACAACGAAAATAATTTCATGGTTGGGGTCCTCAAAACATGAGGAACTGTATTAAGGGGTCCCAGCAATAGGAAGGTCAAGAACCACTGTCTTATTTTGACTTCATCATCTTCCTCATCCTCACTTCATCCTTCAGCTTTCCTCCTAAGCCATTTGCCAAAGAAGGTGCGGTTTTGTATCTATGGGTTGTGATGAGCGGAGAGGCATTCCAGGCCCCAGATGCCTCCTCTCCTTCCTACAGGAGAGCAGAGCTCCCATTCTTACCGCAGGCCTCTCCAATCAGCCAATAGTCACGCTGTCCCCTTCAGAATCCAGCCAGATTTAGGATCCACTCAAGGGGCACAATGAAAAACCAAACCCCCTATAACAAGGCTGTGAATGTCCAGACACAGCCAGAACTTCTTAAAATACAACGCTGGAGCAACCATCTTTTCACCCCTCTAAGAGTGGGGAGCCCTGGGAAACTGGAGGGATGACTCAGTGGTTTGGAGCACTGGAATTTCCAACCGTCTTTAACTCCAGTTCCAGGAGTTCTGGCATCCTCACACAGATACACATATAGGCAAAACACCGGGGCACATAAAATTAAAAAAATAATAATGATTTTTTTTTAAATAAAAAAGAGTGAGTAATGCAGAACAGACGTAGGGTGTTTGAGACCAGGGATCAGTTCTCTTGCTCTAGGAAGAGCATCTCAAGGAGGCTTTAGTCTATCAGTTCTGGGAGGCCACTCTCTTCCTTTCCACACCCTTCTCTGTCCCAAGTTAAAAAGCTGACCAATTGCATAGTACATCAACTTGCTTTGCTGGCTTCCCATTGGAGTCATTTAGGGGGACACAGAGATGACAGAGAACATAGAGTGGAGAGGCCAGGGTATGTAACCACCTCTTTCTTACTCTTTCTTTCTGTATCCATCCTCTCTGTTTCTCAGGTCCCTACAGGTGACCGACCAGACATCCCAGTCCTGCCAGGTGACCCTCTCTTTTTAACTCCCATCATCATTCTGTCCTTGATCCCATCAAACAGTATGCCATCACAGTGCCTGTCTATAGCTGGGGACACCTCATTCCGCTTGTGATTGCTCATAACCTGCCGACACGTTCACCAATAGTCCCTTTTATGAAACCCTCCTCACATTACCCAACTCAAGTGGACTGTCTTTCCCGCTGCTAATCGAAGCCTATATAAGATCCCTGCTTAACAGGCGTGGCAGAAGAATATATATTTGAGGAAATGCAATGGTGGGTGATCAAGAACTCAGTTAGCTACAGGCTGAAGCCCATAGGTAGGACATCTAGCAACTCTTGAGACAGAAAGATGAATGTGAAGCTTGTTTATTGAGGATGGAGTGATGCAAAAGAGTAAGTGAGCTCAATGACCACAATGACCAGAGGGGCCAAGCTCAGATGATCAGTAAATGATCCTGACATTTACTCTACTATTATTATGATTCGGACAGCAAACAAAAACATAATCACATTTTAGATTATTTTGCCTACTTTCTAGCAGGCAAATTAGGAGAAACTAGATAGATTGTTGGTTTTTGTCTATCCAACAATTCTCCCTCAAAATGGTCTTTTTCTGATAGAGCCTCATTTGACATTCTTGAAGATGTCCAACCCTGACTTTGTCCATCATAGCTCTACTCACGCCCATCTACAACATCTCC